ATCAGGAAATGGGCTTCCCTTTTCACTCTTCTTCCTGAGAAGTTTCAAGATACCACTGTTGGTCATTTTGATGTAACTTAGGATTTAATTTTCAGCCTATTTCTTCTTTTGTCTGCTTGTCCCACTCCACAATCCCTGTTCAGGGCCAGCTGTGGCCATTTGGTTTTAATTGGAAACTGTCGCTTTAAATTTCGAGGAGATCTGTGTGGATGCATGGGGCTGGGTGTCCACTAGCTCAGGCCCCCCTCTAGTCACCCAAATGGAGGTGCGCAGACAGCAAGGGACAAATGAACAACAACCAAAAGAGAAGAATGTCCACACCTTTATATCTGTGGTTCTTCCAGGCATCTGTGGCTGCTCCGATCCTTCCCCTGCTTGGTCTCACCCAAGATGGCAGCTCCTCAAGAAGCTGAGCATCTTGAATTACAAAACAATGGATTTCTTGCTTCTGCCACAAATTCCCCCAGCTGTAAGCCTTCCAACCTTCTAAATATTCCTTTATATCCGGTTCAGAGTTCTGGGACCATCCCCTGAACCTGCTTGGTAGGCTATTCTGTGTTGTTGCTGGCAGAGCTCCTTACTGCACTTCCACCTGATCCGCCATCTTGATTGTTCTCTCTACTTTGGATACTTTTATATCTGGATTGATTTCTGGATCATATTGACATGTGTGTTAATTTCAGGTTGTTGCTTGTTGTTGTTGGTTCTCAGTCCAAAGAGCTCTTTTTAGTAGTTTTGGTAAAGTTGTTATTACAAATATCTTTACTTCCTGTTGATCTAGAAAACTTTAAATTTTGCATTTTATTTGAGGGATGGAGTCCTGGTGTGGTGCTATGAGATAAGGCATTGGATCACAAGGTCAGTTTGAATGTAAGATTGGTGGTTCAAACTCATCAGCCACTCCTCAGAAATCCTACACAAAGTCATTATGGGTCATAACTAACTCATTGGCACTTAACAACAACAATTGAGGGACAGTTTTGCTGGGTATCTGATTCTTAGTTGGCAATTTTTCTTTCAGAGTTTTGTATATGCTCTCTATTGCCTTCTTGCCTGCATAGATTTTTTTTTTTTTTTTTTAGAAACAAGAGCTTAACCTATTGGTTCTCCTTTGTAGGTAACGTTTCATTTTCCCTAAGCTGTTCTCAGAATTCTTTCCTTGTCTTTAGTTTTGAAGAATTTGATTATGATATGTCTTGGTGATTTTCTTTTGGGGTCTCTCTTGTTTGGTATTCATTCAGCTTCTTGAATGCGTATCTTCTCATCTTTCATGATGTTAGAGAAATTTTCTTCCAGAAACTCTTAGGCTATCTTTTCTGTGCTTTTTTTCTCTTCTGTTCTGGAATTCTGATCACCTGTAAGTTCTTCCACTTCCTCTTCTTCTACAGGAATTTTAGGCGTTATTCATATTTTTTCATTATTTTTTTCCTGATTGTTCTTTTAGCTTACTAGTTTAGAGAGTTATTGTCAAATTCATGAATTCAAGCTTCCATTGATTCTAATCTACTCCTTTGCCCTTTAAATGTATTGTCAATTTCTGAAACCTTAGCATTCATCATCTGGATTTTTATTTGCAGGTTTTGTATTGTATCCAGTCTTTATCTATTTGTTTTTCTTCATATAGTGTTTCCCTGAACTCTTCCTTGTTTACCTAGACCTTTCTGTCAACCATTTGGATGTCCTTCTTTAAAAGCGTTTTCTAGCTCTGCCTCTTGGTCACTTGCCCTAGCCACTCTTGATTTTTTTTCTTCCCATATGAACATAAATGGTCTATTTCTTATGAGACATTGTGGTGTTATTGTAGTCATATTACATTGTTGATGTGTTCATAGTGTGTTCTTAGGCACTCATCAACTGCCTCCTGGATATGATTAGGAAATATGCTTGTGCACCATTCTTTGTTCATTGTTCATGCAGTTAAGTTTACCATGGCTTTGGTTGATGTTGGTTGTTGTCATTGATCTAGTGTATAGCAACTGGTATTGGCTCTTTTTGAGTGGTGGCATTGTAGAGGGTGGCAGAGAGAAAGGTGTGGAGATTTTTCATGCAGCTGAGCTGTGTGGACACAGTTGCTGTCTTCTGTTGGGTGAGGGGAGAAGAGAAAACACATACACAAGAGAAAAGGAAAACAAATAACCAAATTACAGTGAAAAAAGAAAACAGTAAAGAAAAAATAATAGCAGGCAACAACTAGAAAAATAATAAAATGCCAAAGAAAGAACAGAGAAGAAAATTTAAAAAATGAAAAGAAAGAAAAAGAAGTAAACACAATTAGGGAGAGGAATGAGTAAAAGGGAAGGGATCAGAGATTAGTAAATAAAAACAAAGAGAAAAAAAAGAAAAAAAGAAAGAAGCAACAGTGTTTGGGAAAGAGAAACAGAAAAAGGAATAAAAAATGAAAGCAGAGACAGAAAGGATATACAGCAAGGGAGAGGAAGAAGAGGAAGAAAGAATAAACAAATATAAACAATGAAAGGAAATAAACCAGAGCAGGAATCATACCCAGAGAGGAGAGAATTCTGGGGTCTTCTGCCAATGAATGACCTCCTGTCATTGGTGGGCAAGGGATGAGAAGGTCACACTCTTAACCCTGTAGGACTAGTGTTATCTGTTCTGGACACCCAATATGGAAATAGTTAATACAGAACCCAAAGTAACCGGGGAATCAGGGTATTTCCATCTCATAGCTCAGGTGAGGGTGAGAGGTCATGCTAGTTCAGGGCTGGTCAGAAACAGATCTGCAGGTCTGGATCAGGCCACACCTGATTCCAGGTGCTAGCTCTCAATTCCTTTTATTTATTTATTTATCTTTTCTGTTTTTTTGTAGCTCCCAATTCCTTTTGATGAGCTTTTGATCACCAGGAAAGTGTGAGATTCCCTGGAAGTGCATGCAGCTGGGGGTTGGCTAAACCTCTTGTCACCAGAGTATTGTAGGGTATAAGAAAAAAATTTTGCATCTTTCTCTCTGACAATAAATGATATGTCTCTGTGACACCTACTGCCCTCTTGTCTTCAAAATTGCTTTCAAACTTTCAAGATGGTCATGCTGTGCCAGCCCAGCCAGCAGAAGTCATATCTCCTTTTATTTCCCCTCATGTTTTAGTACTACTGCTTCTCCTAGTGAGGGCTTCTCCAGGACTGGCCAGGATCAGCTCTGCACATGTGAAACAGGCTTACCTGAATGGGGTTAATACAGAGAGCTACCCCCTCCTTTAATGGGGTTCACAATTTTGGTGCTCACCTATGTGCAGCTTAGACCACAGGGAGAATGTGTGCTTCCCTAGAAGTGTATGTAGGTGGGAGCTGCCCTCACCTTTGGTCAACAGCAAAGTGTGGAGAACATGAGAAAAATTGACCTTTATTTCTATGAACCACCAGTAGGTTTCTGTAATGCCAATGTGTTTACTTGTTGCTGAAGCTACTCACAAAAGTTTTAAATGGCTGTACTGTGTCCAGTGGCCAACACAGGTCACAAGTCTATGTCCTTTTCTTTTCCCTTCATAGCTGTTCAGCTTTCTCTCCTTGTAAGCATTCAATCTACTTTTCTAGCCCTTTATCTGAAGGTCAGGAGTCCAGGACTATCATCTGCATCTGTTTTATTTGGTTTTCCATATCTTTGTTGTAGGGGGTTCCATACAGCCCTTCTGTCTAGAGCACCATCTTGCCACTTCTCTCCCTGACAATCATTTTTGTTGTTACTTCCTTGATATTTGATGACTCATGGGTCTATTTTCAATGATTGCTCATCTAGAAATGGTTGAGACAAGATATATATCTGTTCTGACTTCTAGGTTGATGAGAAGAATGATACCAAGATCTTTGCTCTGGCAATTCTACTGAGCAGCACTGTTGTATACAATACAATGAACAAAATCGACCAGGAGGCTATGGACCTATTGCAGTATCCTTTTGTGATTCGGGGTACTATCTAAGCTAGAGATAACTCCTGTGTTCACCAGCTGTATGTCTGTGAGTCATTGTGCATCAAACCTAAAAATGAAAGTATACTAAACATTGACAGTACAAGAAAAAAAATCCATGTCTTTATTGGCATAATGAATTGATTAAGACTGCAATTAAACAGGGTTTAAAATTGGTTTGAACACATTTAATCAAACAGGCCTAAAAACCAAACACACCTGATTTTTAAAAATGCTGGTAAATTGGAGTGGTAAGCAGAACAGGAAGTTATAGGGGTCAAAACCAGAAATGGGAACCCTTTTAAGAGCCTGATGCAGGAGATTAAATATTGGTTAGATTGTGGAGAGTAACTCACATTAAAAGTGGTGAAGTTGGTCACCATTATTGCTATTTCTGATTCTGTTCAAAATACAAGAAATTTGGTTCGTCTTCAATGTATATACTGCCCTTGGGAGGGAGATGAATTTTCCAGAAGTATCTGTAATTTTCCCCATTCCTGTTATTATTCTGGTTTATTCAAATTTTAAGTATTAAGGTTTGTTCTGGGGTCACTTCATTGACCATGACTGAAACACTGGAAACAAAGCACTGGAAAATAAAGGTTCAAAGATACATGAAATTGAATATGAGCTTTGATACAGTCTTATTTCTACCAGTTATCCTTAACTGCATTTCAGCAATGTGACAGAACTGACAAATCTACTGAGGGCAAGATCCTCACCTGATCCTGATAAGACTGAAGATGCAGCTGATTTTGTGAACTTCTTTCCGGACTTAGTGTGGACTCTTAGAGATTTCTTCCTAGAGCTGAAAATAGAAGGGAAAGCCATTACAGTAGATGAATACCTGGAGAATTCACTACGCCTAAAGGAAGGTAAGAAGAAGATGAGCACAAACACTAGAAATTATCTTTTGTTTAGATTGTTACATTTTTGGTTTCCTCTATTTAATAGTACAATATATTTTCCTATATTTAGTAATAAACATAAGCCATACTAATCTGTCAGTTTGTCATACTGTGGTGGCTTGTGTGTAAATACCAGCAGGGTCAACCATGGTGGACAGGTTTCAGATGAGCTTCCAGACAAAGACAGACTAGGAAGAAGGAGAGACAAACTACTTCCAAATATTTAGTCACTAAAACTTCAAGAAGAGCAGTGGAACACTGTCGGCACCAGATTATTGAACGTTGAAACATGATGAAGAACACCAAAATAATGTCAGATATAGTGCCAGAAGATGAGCCCCTCAGGTTGGAAAGCACTCAAAATGTGACTGGGGAAGATCTACCTCCTCAAAGTAGAATTGACTGTAATCATGCGAATGGAGTAAAGCCCTCGGGATCTTCATTTGCTGATGGGGCACAACTCAAAATGAAGAGTAACAGCTGTAAAATCCATTAATAATTGGAACACAGAATGTGCAAAGTATGAATCTAGGGAAATTTGACATTGTCAAAAAATGAAATGGAATGTATAAGCATTGATATCCTAGGAATTAGTGAGCAGAAATGGACTGGTATTTGCCATTTTGATTCTGACAATCACAGGGTTTACTATGCTGGGAATGACAAATTAAAGAGGAATGGTGTCCCATTCATCATCAAAAAGACATAACAAGAGCAGTCATGAAGTTCAATGCTGCCTATGATAGGATAATACCCATCTGCATACAAGGATGACCAGTTGATAACACTACTATTCAAATTTATTCTCCAACCACTAAAGCCAGTGAGGATGAAATTGAAGAATTCTATCAACTTCTGTCTGAAATTAATCAAACATGCAACCTAGATTATTGATCATTACTGGCAATTGGAATGCAAACGTTGGAAACAAAGAGAAATAATCAGTAATTGGAAAATATGGATGTCAGAAGAGCCTCTGAAACTTGATATCCAGCATAGAGATTCTAAAATAAATGGAAGAAGTGAGGTGTCACAAGATCTAAACAGGAAATTTCAAGGATCAGCTTGAGAAGACATAGTCAAATATTATAACAAAATGTGCAAAGATCTGGAGTTAGAAAACCAAAAGGGAAGAACACACTTAACATTTCTCAAGCTGAGGGAACTGAAGGAAAAATTGAAACCTCGAGTTGTGGTATTGACAGATTCTATTGGCAAAATGCTGAAAGCATCAAAAGAAGATGGAAAGAATACACAGAGTCACTGTACCAAAAAGAAATGGCAATGTTCAACCATTTCAAAAGGTAGCATATAATCAAGAGCCAATGATCCTGAAGGAAGATCTCCAAGGTATATTGAAGTCATTGGCAAAGAACCAGGCACCAGGAATTGATGGAATACAAATTGAAATCTTTCAACAAAATTAATCGGCACTGGAGGCTCACACTCATTTATGCCAAGAAATTTGTAAGACAGCTACCTGGCCAACTGACTGGAAGAGAGCTGTGTTTGTGTCCATTCCAAAGAGAGATGACCCAATGGAATGCAGAAATCATCAGACAATATCACTGATATCCCATAAAGTTTTAGTAAAAGTAATACACAAATGGCTGCAACCATACATTTACAGAGAAATTCCAGAGGTTCAAGCTGGTTTCAGAAAAGGAGATGGAACAAGGGATATCACTGCTGATGTCAGATGGATCTTGGCTAAAAGCCCAGAATACCAGAAAGATGCTTACTTGTGTTTTATTGACTATGCAAAGTCATTTGGTTGTATGGATCATGACAAGCTATGGACAACATTGCAAAATATGAGTATTCCAGAACACTTAATTGTGCTTATGAGGAATCTGTACATAGACAAAGAGGTAGTTGTTTGAACAGAACGAGGGAACACCAAATGGTTTCAAATTAGGAAAGGTGTGCACCAGGTTTGTATTCTTTCACCATACTTATTCAATCTGTGGAGTCCTGGTGTGGTGCTGTGGGTTAATGTGTTGGACTTCAAAGTCATTTTAAATTGTAGGGGTAGGACTGGTGGTTCAAGCTCAGCAACCATCCTTGGAAACCCTATACAGGGTCGCTATGGGTTGGAACTGACTCGACAGCACTTAACAACAACATATAACCAGAGATTCTGGATTATATGAAGAAAAATGTCGCATCAGGATTGGAGGAAGGCTCATTATCAGCATGAAGATGATACTACCTTGCTTGCTGAAATCAAAGAGGATTTAAAATTCTTATTGATGAAGATCAAAGACCACAGTCTTTGGTATGGATTGCACCTTAATGTAAAGAAAACAAAAATCCTCACCACTGGAACAATAAATAACATATAAAAGGAGAAAAGACTGAAGTTGTCAGTGACTTCATTTTGCTTGGATCAAACATCAACACTCGTGGAAGCAGCCAGGATGGCCACACTTCATCTCTCATACTTCAGACATATTGTCATGAGGTACCAGTCACTGGAGAAGGATATCATGTTTGGTAAAGTGGATGGTCAGAGAAAAAGAGGAAGACCCCCAGTGAGATGGATTGGCACAATGGCAGCATCAATAGGCTCAAATGTAGCAATGTTTTCTTTTGTTCTATTGTGTCACTATGAGTTAGTGCTGACTGGATGGCACCTAACAACAACAATATTTAATAAATAAATCAAACCAAACCCACTGACTTCAAGTTGATTTTGACCCATAACAACCCTATATAAAGTTTCTAAAATGGTAAATCTTTATGGGAGTAGATAGCCTCACCTTTCTCCTGTGGAATGGTTGGCGGATTTGAACTGCCAACCATATGATTAGCAGTCCTATGTCTAAAACAAAAATAAGTAATGGAGTAAGGTCAGCAGTTCGAATCCATCAGTTGCTCGGCTGGAAAAAAATATGAGCTTTTCTGCTCCCATAAAAATTTATAGCCTTAAAGCAAGAGCAGAGGCAAGGGAAGCGGTGGGATTTAGGTTGCCTAGACTCGGACGACTGTTTAGCTTGAGACTGGGTGGTTGACGAGGCAGTGGGACTGGTGCATTGGCCATGCTCTGTGAAAAGGCCACGGAACTGGTCCATGAGCTGCTCCACACGTTGGAAGGGCAGCAGCTTGCCATTAATGAGGATGGGTTCAGGCAAGTTCTGGAGGAGATGAAAGCTTTATATGAACAAAATCAGTCTGATGTGAATGAAGCAAAGTCAGATGGATGAAGTGATTTGATACAAACCATCAAATTTCAACACTGTTCTTTGTTAAGAAACCAGCACTGCATTGTAGCATACCTGTATGACCTGTTACTTTGAATCAGAGCACTCAGGTGGGAATAATGGCATTGTCTTGCCAAATGTTTTACGATTTCACATTCTGCTGAAGAATTAGAATGGTTCAATTGTTATAAAACATCCTTTGCTATTTATGTATGAGGTCGTTGGGAAAAGATGAAGGTTTGGACATCACACAGGATATGAAACCTCCAAAAAACTTGTATAGTGAAGTGCAGTGACTAAGCGACTATGGAGAATTTGAAGTGGATTGCACTTTGGTCATATTGAAAAACAAACAAACAAAGAAAAAAAACCTTAGCATTTTTTGCCTCATTGGATGTGTAAACAGTTAATCAGACAAGGCATTCTGGAGCATGTGCTATCATAGCTGCACACAGACTAACTTCTCTCTTTGTATCCACCTCCCTACCTCTTTGATTTAAAAAGTTATGTTGTTTGTTGTTGTTATGTGTCGTGGAGTTGGTTCCGACTCATAGTGACCCTGTACAGGGTTTCCGAGGCTGTAAATCTTTACTGGAGCAGAAAGCCTCATCTTTCTTCCGCGGAACAGCTGATAGTTTCGAACTGCGGACCTTGCGGCTCGCAGCCCGATTCGTAACCACTATGCTACCAGAGCTCCTTTTAAAAGTTATAGGCATCCTTTAATACAACTAGGGTTACTTTTCTAACAAGTATCGCTTGCTAACCCTTAAGAAATTTTGTTTTTTTATATTGTACATGACTCTTCCTCCTTGTAATAATCTCTATCCATAATTATAACATTCCTATACCTTTAATAACAATGTATTTTTTCATGAAAGCAAGCATTTACTAAATTTGAATTTATTTTAAAAATAATGAGATATGCATAGGCTGTTCAAGGAGACGGAAGACTCAGGCAGTGTATATTGTCAGGAATGCTGTGGCATCATGATCATGTGTAAGCCAGCAAATCCCATATTCTGGAATATTTATTTCCAGGTCACACAGGTAAGGAGAGATGATAGTCTTTAACCTTCTTAGTATATTTAATGTGTAGTCAACTATATTGTTATCATCTTATTTGAAAAGGGAGGCAGTACTTGGATGATCTGGTGCATAACTGTATGCAAGCCTGTAAGGTAAGCACCAGTGTCTAATGACTCTGTAGCCTCTGTAACAAAGTACCAAAACCAGGGTGGTTTAAAGCAACAGAAAATTTATTTTCTCTCAGTTTGGAAGGCCGTAAGTCTGATACCAAGGTGTTGGCAGGGCTTTATTCTTTTTCCAAGCTTTTGGTGGCTACCAGCATTTCCTGGTATCTTGACTTATAGAAAGTCACTCCAGCCTGTCTCCTTGGTCATACAGCATTCTTCACTGTATGTCTCTGTGTCCTAATTTCCTCATTTTAAAGACGTCAGCCATTATTAGAAGTAATAACAATCTATGAGTGGATACATAGATTGTAAGCTGAACAGGTGTTTAATGGAGTG